AAAGCCGGGAGAGCAATTGTTAATGAAACGATATTCGGCTGCGGAAAACCAAGAAGTTTTTCCGAAACAACAACAAACAACAACAACAAAACGGAAAGCACTTAGAAAACAGTAATCGTGATGAATAGATGTATAGTAAATTAGTGCAATGGGGCAAGTGGTAGTTGGAGACGGAAAATAATAGCCTCTTATTGTAAAAATGTAAAAAGGTCGTTACAGTAAAATAAAACTTGTTTTTCCATGTTTCGCACTTCTTTGGATGAGTGCTTTGTCTTTCGAAAGATGTTTATCATGTTGTTGATAGTCCCTCCCATCTAGCAGAAGGGAAAACTACTGTCGATTGAAAGGTGAAAGAACCAAAAAAAAGATTGAAAAGAAGAAGAAAGAGAGAAAAGGAGAATAATTAAGAAAATTGCGAAGAAATCACATTTTTCTGGTGTACTGCTTGTCTCTTCCATGATGGCTTTCCTTTTCATCGTTATGAGCAAAAAATATTGATTGACACGTTTGTTTCTTTGGATAGCTCTCATAGATAGCGAAAAAACTCAAAAATTTCAGAGAAAATTTTTTTCCCGACGCATTGTTTCACTTTCTATCGTCATAAATCTCTTTCCTAACTCATATTCATCAACGTTATGGATTGAAATATCAATTTCTTAATAAATACGAGGCAGCTCCCCTACAAAGCGGAAAAACACGAAAATTGAGGAAACAAAAATTTTCTCCGGTGCACTGTTTGTCTCTCCCATGTTGACGTATTTTTTTACATCATATATGGACGTTCTCTATCAGAAAAAAAAATCCAGTTGAATACCGGACGGCCCTGGAGCCGAAAAAAAATAAAAACGTTAAAATTCATCGAAAAATAGGTGCAGAAGTTTTTTCACGCCTATGGAATATTTTTTTCCGGAAAGTATGAAAGAAAACAAAAATTTTCTTTTTTTATTTGTTCGAATCGGATGCGCCATTCAAAAGTTATGAATTTTTGTATGGTTATTCATATGAAAACGATCACATCATCGGCAAATATGGAATGGCTAAATGATGGATTATGCGGGATTGGGATACAATAAATATACACACCGTATTAACTAGTCAAAGATTTATTCAGTAAAGCACGTCACTCGTCTCGCGTCTAGCGTCCAACACGTCTCGTACAGGAATGTACAGCATGGGACGAGATCCGCGCATACGCACGATCTCGTCCCCCTCTTAGCTTACACAGGTACATCTTATACTATAGATAATATATATATATCAACACTCCCTCCCGACTGCTTCTGAGTCCTCCTTTATGAAAAAAATATCATCAAGTTTACGTACTTTTCTTCCCTAACAAAGACAGAAAAACAATGATTAGATATTCACATTCATTATTTTGTCAACTTGGCGCTTGTGTAATTCAAACGCCAGAGGTTTGGTAAACACGTCAGCCAATTGATCTCTGGAACTTATCCAGTTTACTTTGATCAAATTGAGTTTTACACATTCTTTGATGTGATGGGCTTTGACATCGATAATATGTCTCAATTTATTTTCCCCACTAATCTCAGCACTACTCGTCGCTGCTTTATTATCGCACCACAATGTCATAGGCAACAAGGGTGGAAATATTAATTTCAGAGAATTGAAAATGGACAACATCTCTTGACTCGCTTCCCTCATCGCAACATATTCTGCTTGACAAGTAGATAGAGCTACATACGACTGTTTATGAGTTCTCCACATAATTGAATCACCAAACAGTTTAATTACAAAACACGTAGTCAATGATCCTTTGCAATCAGCAAAGCTAGCATCTGCGGATGCTTCAATCACATCAGTCTCACCAGTGTATCTCAGAAATAAAACAGAAGTACCTCTTAAATACCTCAATACGCGCTTCACCATTTTCCAATCCTCAACGGTTGGACTCACCTGGTGTCTGCTCAACACATTGACCGCGTAGGAAATGTCTTGTCTAGTCGTTCCTGCTAGATATAGTGAGCTACCTACTACTTCTCTGTATGGACAATTCATTCTCGTATCAGTCATAATATAGATCTCACCTGCAATTTCTGATTCTCTCAGTTTGCGCTCATCATTAGATGCGGGTGAAGTTAACATTGGAGTTCTTTGAGAATGTGAATTTTCAAACCCGTATTGAATCAGTAATTTCTGAACGTATCTTTCCTGACTCAATTTTAATATTTTGTTCTCTCGATCTCGTAGATATATTTAAAAATTCTTTTGGCTCACCTAGGACAGTCATTTCAAATTCAGGATTCAGTGCTGAGTTAATCTCATTCAGCTTAAATTTCTCATTACTCGCTATAATAATATCATCGACATATAATAATAAAATCAAGAATTTATCGTCATGACTCCGAGCAAATAAGCAAGGCTCTACATCAGAANTAATCTCATTCAGCTTAAATTTCTCATTACTCGCTATAATAATATCATCGACATATAATAATAAAATCAAGAATTTATCGTCATGACTCCGAGCAAATAATCAAGGCTCTACATCAGAATTAACAAGTCCTACACCAAATGCTACATTAGTGAATTTCTTGTTCCATCGTTTGGGGCTAATTCGAAGTCCATATAGAGACTTCTCCAACTTACACACTTTAGTTTCCCTTTCCAGCAAATACTGTCCTTTAGTTTCCCTTCTAGCAAATACTGCCCTGACCAAGTTTATTCTGGATACTGGAGCACAACTTTCTCTTAGTTCGTAGACATTTCGATCTTTAAAACCTCGAATGACTAATCTAGCTTCATGACGTGTCTTGCCAGTCGCTCCAATTTGCGTTTATAGATCCCTCTCGAGTCAATTCTATTAGCTTTCTGACCATTTTGATTACAGATAGGTCTGTCTACAATTTTCCATACTTTATTTTTACTCATCGAATTTAATTCCTCCTCTATAGCAACTGACCATTTATTATTTTCTACGCCCTGCATGGCTTCTTTGAAATTGATTGGATCTGAATTGATATCAGGAAGAAGAGCATGACATATCTCGTCAGTTGAATTGTCCAGACCTAGCTCACCCTCACCCTGTGACAAACAAGCCAAAAATAATCCAGAAGTCAGACTCGCGTCGATTGGTAATGTTTCAAGGTTTGATCCCTGTGCTGTTCCACTGGTGGGTTCATCGACCTCTTTTATCTCTGAACTTAGAGTCACCTTTCTCGGCCTACCCCTTTTTCTCTTCGGTACTCCCTCCGATTTGGAGGCCTCATCAACATCGCTCGAACCCTTATCAAAACCTACAAACCAATCCTCCTTGTTTATCACTTCTTGAAATTCTGGGGCACCTCTGATCTCACATCTCTTGTACTTATCACCATAAACCTTTTTCTCATTAAACCTGACATCTCTACTTTCATAGAATTTAACTTCTTCTGGTTTCAGCAGTATGTATCCTGTTGGAGTGTAACCAACCAGAATACTTCTTACACCTATTGCCCTAAATTTAGGTCCTACTTTTCTCTGAACTTTCATGAACGCCAAGCACCCAAATCTCTTTATCTGATTAATATCAAACCTATGTTTCGGTGCAAACTCTTCTAATGGAGTTTTCATTTCATTGGATTTGTGAGGTGTTCGATTATACGCGTTTACAGCGGCAGACAGAGTCAGATCTCACATGTTTTCTGGCAATTTCGCGTCAAACATATACGTACGAACCTTTTTCTGGATTGTCTGGTTGTATCTTTCTGAGACGCCATTATGTTCCAGAGTGTCAGGACTCGCCAGTTGTAATTCCGCACCTAATCTTTTCAACACCTCAACTGTATGTCCTCCGGTAAATTCTGTCCCTTGATCTGACCTAAGATAACAGACCTTCGCGTCGTAACTCAACAAGTTTCTACAACTCCTGACAGACATTTTAGAACACCGACCTGTTTCACTCTTCGCTCTCATCGGGTATGCCATTGCAAATGTCGATTTATCGTCAATGAAGACTGATATAAACCTGTATCCTTTCGGATATGTGGTTGGGGATATTGGCCCCATTACGTCAGAGTGTATGTTGAGGCTTCAGCCGCAGGTCACGGCAGTTTGGTCCGCTGACCACGAGCGGCAGCACCTCCACGGACACGGACCTGGGTTACCGACCGTGTCCAATTAATTGGGACCGACGACACCTGCCGCTTATCCCATCTCATCACTTCCGCCTTTTTCTCTAATCGGCATGTGTCAAGTGTGCATTGTGCAATTCTCTCTCCACGATTACATCGTGAATTATTGTGAACATCTCCACCGTGCAAGCTCTCTAATTCATTTCAAATTGTCAACGATTAATGGTCATTGCGATGCGGATATTTTTCGTGTGTATATTTTATGAGAAATATAGACTTTTATTGTGACTCTACCCACGTGCACAGTGACATTTATTTTTGGTGAACTTCTCAACCCTTTCCCTTTCCCGAATCACGGCTTTCCATCGGTTTTTCTGTTTAACTCTCGCCGGAACATTTGGTCCTTCGAGCCGGATCAATCGGGAAAAGTGAACATTGGTTGTTTGGTGAAACATTAGTGTGCGTGGTGTCGGTGGAAAAGCGCGGGAATTCGTGTGTTGGCTCCACCCCCTTTGCTCCACCCACCGACTCCGCCCATCGACTTCTCCCACGTGGCTCCTCCCCTGCGTGACGTAGCAGTGCAGTGGTACTCATCTCAGACTTTTGCCATTTGTGCGCGGCACTGAATTGTGGGACTTCAGCAGTGACACTCAACCTGGGGCGCCCTGATATTTGCTCCAGCACTTCAGAAGCAGATTTTTTCTTCTTCTCGCTGTTTGCTGAAGTTCTACGACCATCAGTGCTGCTATCGGACCTTCTCACAGGGAAGTCAATTATTATTATTATTTTTCTCTGAACGTCGCTGCTGCTTCTGCTTGATTTCAATTTTTTTCGCTATTGGCTGTGCTTTTCTTCACTGTTGCGTTCACTACGATTTTTTTTGGTGCTTTCTCTGTTCGCTGAATTTGTATTCGCTATCGGGTGAGCATGTCTTTCGCAGGGAGATTATTTATTCAAGCCAGTAGGACAAAGTTTATTGAGTCTCGCCACACGGAATCTTCGTCAGCGGCAGTGAAGGAGCTGTCAGTTACGGAGTTGCAGTCAAAGCTGGATATTCTGGAGAATTACTGGAGCCAATTCGAGGAGCAGCGCGTGAGGCTGTTCACTGGGAAGGATAGCGCGGAGGTGCTCGAGTACGATTACGTGAAGCAGGGGGTATACGATATCTGTCTGCAGCGGTATTCCACGGCTCGTACCTCGTTCATTGGACTAATCAAGTCCATTGATGAGACCGTGGATCTCTCGGAGTCGTTTTGTCGACCCGCTGCACCAGTTCCGTCTGCTCAGGTGACTCAAAGGCAGTTACCGAAGATCTCGCTGCCAACCTTCTCAGGGGACTTCTACGAGTGGACACCCTTCAAAGATCTTTTCCTGTTGATGGTTGTCGGCAACAGTAACCTCTCCACGGTCGAGAAATTCTACTATCTCTTGACTTCTCTTGCTGGCGAGCCAAAGCAGTTGATCTCAACTCTGCCGGTAGCTCAAGATTCATTCATTCCAGCTTGGGATATGCTTATCTCGAGGTATGACAATGAACGTCTGCTCATCTCTACCCAGCTGGAAAGGTTGTTCTCTACTCCGAGGATCGTCAACCGTACGGCCAAAGAGTTTAATGCTCTCCTCAACTCCACCACCGAAGCTCTCAATGCCCTGAAGTCGTTGAGGCGCCCTGTCGAGCACTGCGACGACGTCTTGGTGCATATCATCTCCAGCCGGTTGGATGTTAAGACGTTGGAGGCGTGGGAAGTTAAGATCGGCTCCACCACCACCTTTCCAACGTACGCGGAACTCAGGGAGTTCATGTTGAACAGAGCAAGAGCTAGGGAGAGAATTGAGCTGCATCCTCTGCATGCTCCCAAGACACCAACTTCGAGCGTGCCCTCTCAACCACTCAAAGCAAAGCCAGCAAAGGTACTGAATGTCTCAACTGGCAGTGCAGTTCAGCAGGCTCGCGGGTCGACTTCGCAGTCATGGGCAGACCTGACCGCCAATGCCTGCTCCATGTGTGAAGAGGAGCATTTCATCGATAAATGCCCCAAATTCAAGCAGTTGTCACCGGAAAAGAGGAAGGAGTTCGTCGAAAAAAAGTACCTCTGCTTCAACTGCTTGGGGAAGCACTCCATTAGTGCCTGTAGGACCACGAAGACGTGCGTTGTGTGTCACAAGCGCCACCACTCGATGATCCACATCACACGCCCTCAGAATGGTTCTCTGGAGTCATCTCAACCAGACCAGTTGAAGTCTCAAGGTCAGTGGTCTCAGTCTGGTACTCGTCCTATACAGTCCGCTGTTCCGGGGCCTTCATCAGTGCAGCAGTGATCTTCTCAACCAACGACTTCAACGACAGCGGCTCCGGTAACTTCAGAACGTTCTCTACGGCCGTCGCTGTCAAGTGATTCTCCATCTGTAGCATTATCAGTTCATGAATCGTCATCTCAACTCAGACCAGGTGTTCTACTCGCAACAGCGCTAGCTTCTCTCGTTTCAGAGAATGACTGTTGCTGTGAAGTCCGGATGCTGTTGGATCCTGAATCTGAGTTATTATTTGTTACAGATAGTCTTGCGGTAAAGCTAGGTTTGTTGAAGTCTCCAGCTTTGCTACCTGTCGTTGGTATTGGTGGATCAAGGTCATTCTCAAAGGAATTCTCTCAGTTCTGTCTGAAGTTTCTGCACTCAGACAAACATCTTCAGATTAAGGCCTACATTCTTGACCATCTCACATCATCGTTGCCGTCGTTCTCAGTCTCAGATACTCAAGCCTGGGGCCATCTCGAGGGACTGACGTTAGCTGATCCGGAATACATAGAACCAAGACCTATTGACCTTCTCGTTGGCGCGGATTTCTTCGGATCAATTGTGGAGCCACAGATCATCAAGGGGTTTTCAGACTCTCCTATAGCAATGCAAACTATCTTCGGTTGGGTGGTACTAGGACCTACTTCAGCGGTGATTCCAATGCTGGCCAGCTCTAATCACATTGCAGTCAGCAACGAGGAACTCTACGACCTTCTCACCTCGTTCTGGCTGCAGGAGGAGGTCCCAAAATCCGAAGATAGTGGTCTCACGGAAGAAGAGGCAGAGTGTGAGGAGTTTTTCCAGCGCACACATTCGTGAGATAGCTCAGGGCGCTATGTGGTTCGCCTGCTTTTTGCACGTTCTCCGACAGAGCTTGGCGAGCTTGGCTCTTATGGTCGAGGTAAAGCGTGTCTCTCCAGCCTGTTTCGGAGAATGGAGAAGGATCAACGGATCCTTCAGCTATATAGTGTTTTCTCAAGGAGTACGGAGATCTGGGACATGGTGCGTGTTCCAGCCTTAACTGGTTCGAGGAATGCCAGGAGCTTGAAGTTTGGCTGTCGATCTGAGGGGATGACCTTGGCACTTGGGGCTTCGGCTTCAGGAGGGTTGAGGGTTCCTGAGGAGAAGCAGCCGGCTCATGTCTCCACTCGGTGTTCTGCTCAAAGGCAAGCTCATTCGTCAACTCCTATGTACTACTTTCCTCATCATGGTATTCTCAGGGAAAGTAGTGAAACAACGAAGCTGAGGGTAGTGTTCAACGGCTCCAGTAAGATCAGCTCAGAGGTATCTCTCAGTGACATCCAACATACTAGTGCCAAAAGGCAGAAGAATATCTCTGACGTGCTGCTCTCATTCAGGCGGAGTAAGTACATTTTCATGACGGATATCACGAAGATGTTCCGTCAAATCAAGGTGCATCGTGAGGACTGGCCTTTTCAACAGATTCTGTGGCGAAATTCTCAAGGTCAGATCAACACCTACCAGCTCACCACCGTGACCTACGGGACTAAATCGCCCCCATTCTTAGCCTGTAGAGTTTCCAACCAACTGGTCGCGGACGAAGGATATCGTTTTCCTCTAGCAATCTCTCCGTTGACCAGTGGAAGATACGTGGATGACATCTGTGGTGATGCTGAAGAGGAGAGTGATCTTCTAGAAGTCTCCACGCAAGTGAGGGGTCTTTGCTTATCTGGTGGTTTCCCTCTAGCAAAGTGGCATAGCAACAGTCGGTCTCTACTCAGATCTCTGGATCCAGAAGGTGTCTCTCAGGATTATAAGCTGCTAGAGGATTCCATCACAAAGATTCTTGAGCTGAAGTGGGATCCAAACACAGACCAATTCAAGTTCTCGATCCACATTCCGGCCAATTCAAAGATGACGAAGAGGAATATATTGTCTGAGATAGCTCAGTTGTTCGACGCTCTGGGTCTACTTTCTCCTGTGGTGATTAGGGCAAAAGCACTTCTACAGCGTCTCTGGGTTGAGAAGCTGGACTGGGATGATGCGCTCTCACCACAAATCTCAGACAAGTGGACCCAATTCCGTAAGGAGCTGTCTTAGCTCGAAAATATCTCTATTCCTCGTTGGCTCGGAGTGAAGAAGGATGCTCCGGTGGAAATAGACGAGTTCTCAGACGCATCTCAAACAGCCATGGCTGCGGTGGTATATTTGAAAGTGACAAGCTCGGATGGTGTGAATATCTCTTTAGCTACTGCTAAAACCAAGGTGGCTCCTCTCAAGAATCTCACCATTCCGAGACTTGAGCTCAACGCCGCAGTCATGCTGGCGAAACTCACAAGGTATGTGCGTGATCAACTCAACCTTGATAATGCTCCTGTGTTTCTGTGGACAGATTCAGCTGTTACCCTGGCATGGATCAGCTCTCATCCCTCCCGGTGGAAGGAATATGTGCATATCAGGGTAGCCAGCATACAGGAGCTGGTTCCAGGAGCAAAGTGGAGATACATCAGCGGTAAGGAGAACCCTGCTGATTGTGCTTCTCGGGGCATCACTGTGGCTCAACTCAGTGCTCATAAACTGTGGTGGACAGGTCCAAAGTGGCTGCAGTTAGACTCCTCTCAGTGGCCAAAAGAGAATGCCAAACTGGATCCGTCTCAGCAACTGATGGGGCAACTTCCACCGGCACGTCTGTCTCCAGGACGTGCATTCTCTAACACTGGTGTAGATTATGCTGGACCAGTGTTAATCAAGATATGGAAGGAGCGTGGTCATAAAACTCAAAAGGGTTGGTTAGTGATCTTCGTTTGCATGGCCACGTCAGCATTTCATTTGGAAGCTGCCACCGACTACTCTGTTGATCGGTTCATCGCTGCATACCGGAGATTCGTGAGGCGTCGAGGTCGTTGGAGGAACCTCTTTAGTGATTGTGGTACGAACTTCATCGGTGCTGACAAGGAGCTGAAGAGGTTGTTCTCAGCAGGGTTAAAGAAGTTCCAGCATCTCTCAGCAGTCTGCCTGAAGGACGGCACTCGGTGGTACTTCAATCCACCTGGGGCTCCTCATTTTGGAAGAAAATGGGAAGCAGCCATAAAATCAGTGAAGTACCATCTCTCTCGAACGATTCGGGACACTACGCTGACGTTCGAGGAACTCTCTACGCTGCTTACTCAAATTGAAGCTGTGCTCAACTCCAGACCTCTACAGGCTCTCTTTGAAGATCTCGACGACGTGTTGTGTTTCACTCCAGGGCATTTCTTGATTGGAGAAGCTCCAATAGCTCTACCGGAATCTTCACTGGACCATCTCAACGTTGGACGGCTCTCAAGATGGCAACTGATTCAGCAGAGACTGCAGTATTTCTGGAACCAGTGGTCTACAGGATACCTGCAGCAGCTTCAGTCCATCTCCATGTGGCATCATTCGTCCAACCACATTCGCATCGGCTCTGTGGTTCTGCTCTCCGATGAGAGGTTCCCGCCAGCGACGTGGCCTCTAGCTCGGGTCACAGCTCTACACCCTGGGAAGGATGGTCTCTCTAGAGTTGTGACCATCAGGACAGCAACAACGACATTGACTCGGTCGATCTCCAAGCTGGTTTCGTTGCCAATCTCTACCAGCTGATTCTGAAGCTGGTCTCTGTTGACATTGTTGATCTTCCCTGTTTAGCGTTTCAGGCTCTATCACGGCTTTCTCGAGAACCTGGTCACCAACAAGTTGCTGACGGGGGGAGAATGGTGAGGCTTCAGCCCCACGTCACGGCAGGTTGGTCCGCTGACCACGAGCGGCAGCACCTCCTGGACACGGACCTGGGTTACCGACCGTGTCCAATTAATTGGGACCGACGACACCTGCCGCGACACTTGTCCCATCTCGTCACTTCCGCCTTCGTCTCTAATCGCCGTGTGTCAAGTGTGCATCGTGCAATTCTCTCTCCGCGATTAAATTGTGAATTATTGTGATCGCCTCCACCGTGCAAGATCTCTAATCCATTCCAAATTGATTGTCAACGATTAATTGTCATTGTGACGCGGATATTTTTCGAACTTTCTGTATATTTTATGAGAAATATAGACTTTTATTCTGACTCCACCCACGCGCAAAGTGACATTTATTTTTTGTGAACTTCTCAACCCTTTCCCTTTCCCGAATCCCGGCTCTCCATCGGTTTTTTTTATTTAACTCTCGCCGAAACAGTGTACTACTTGCAAAGGTTCAGTTGCCCGACTTCTTATTTTGGGGAATGGCAATCTGTTAAATTTAGAAGCTAAACAAACCTCACAATCCATTATTCACTCGTCAAAAATCCCGTCTTTTAATTCTTTGCTATCCGGGAATTTTAATTGAATAGCTTTGAGATATGCTATTGATGCATGATCAAACCTCGCGTGCCACAGTAAAGCTTTATGATTATTACTACGAAGTTTGTCGTTATCATTCACAAACGTATCAAAAATCTCGTCACTTTCGTAAAGATTCACTTCGTCTGCATTATTTAATTTCCTATCCCAAATTGAGAAATCAATGTTTGAGTGTATGAATGGATCTGAAGTTGTTTTAGGGTTTTCTATACTACTAAGATTTTCTTCTCGTCTAACTTCAGATTGTTTACTCTCTATCGCCTCGGTTGATAATTCTACAATTTCCTCGCCACCCTCAATTGGAATTTCCTTAACCGAAACTTCTTCATCAAGTTTAGCTGTAGCACTGCGCGTCATATATTTTCTTATCTCTGTCTCACCTCCTACCATATTAGCTATAACTCGTCTAGTTGTATTCGTCTGGAATTGTTTACTAACCTGACTATACTTATTTATTTCCAAATCTATAATCCAATATGGCTTTCTGTGCACACCGGAGAAAAATAATTCATTAGAATCTGGGTTAAAGATGTCTATTGTTTTGTCGTCCAGATAAATTCCAAGACCTATTTCTGCGAAACGTCTTAATGACAGTAAGTTAGCTTGAAGAGCATCAGCAAATATAACCTCGTCTATCACGAATTTCTTTCCATTTAACAATTTGATTTCTACCTGACCTACCCCCTCCATTTTCAACTCCGCATTTTTATTTTTATTAGCACATTTAATCACACCCTTAGTTTGCTCGTCAATCGACTTGAATATTAGCTTCGAATTTGTTAAGTCCTCAGTAGCACGGAAATCTGCTAGAAATTCTTTGATAAACTTATTTTTCTGGATATTTACACCCACATGCATTGCCTGACCTACACATGATTCATCGTTCACTTCTATGTATTCTTCTGAACTGTTCAAAATTGACTTACCCTTCTCTTTGTTATCTGCTCCTGAGGTTTTGCTTGAGTCTTCCTTACTGGCTTTTGTATTGACTTTGGAATTAGAATACCTGTTATTTCCCCTGCCCATTTGCTTATCAAATCTACCCCTTTTTTCACTTCTTGAGTCATTCGCATAATTTGACCTTGTCTTCAGTGACCCAATTTCACTTCGAATTTATGCTCGTCCAAAGTCTTTTCATCTCCTCTAAATTTTACACTACTATCTATAACATGTAATAGTGTTACGAGATCTTACTTCTGATTTGAAATGATCAAAGAAATGTTCATATCGAGTATTACCATCTAATTTATAATCTCGTTTCACTGATAGCCCCCTGTCTAATAGATTGAGTTTAATAGTTTCAGCAACCACATCAGCATTGCTGTCTCTGGTGCTTCCACCATTTTGATTCAGTCCTAGTGGTTCTAGATTTACTAAATGTCTTTTAACAATGTTCTGAATTTTCTCATTTAACTCCCCATCCTCTTCATTCTTACCGCCATTATTTGATAAATCTGACCCATTTCTTACCTCCTTACCCTGATCTTCATAGTCAGTCCACGTCAACATTTTCTCCAGATTTTGAAGTGAAACTTCTNCAAAATTAAAAATTTGGATTTTGAAAATCCTGAAATTTGAATTTCCATTCTGAAATTGGAATTCTGAATTGGAAATTGAAATTTGAGATTGAAATTTTGAATGAAAATTAAAAATTGAAAACTTCAATTGAAATTTCGAATTAAAACTTTTAATATAAAATTGAAATTTGGAATTCAAATTTAAAATTGAAATTAAAAATTGCAATTAAAAATCTGAACTTGAAAATTGAAAGTTTTTATCTGCTGAATGGTAAAAAATGAAAAAAGTCATTCAAATTTTCTTGTTATTAATTTCCTAGTATCCCATCGAATTTCTATATATAATCATAATAATAATGCTTTCTCAAGCATGAGAAGCGAAAAAAAAATTTTCAGGAAAAACAAATTGGACAAAAAAATTTGAGAATACTAAAAAGAAGTTTCACTTCTGTCGCGCGTGGACTCCACGCACTGTTTTTTTTCGATGCTAGAAAGTCTGTCATCCCAATCATTTTTCACTTCTTTGATGCTATCCAGCAACCAGCGACTCGTGTTGCTTTGAATATTTACGACTTTAACGAGTGCGCTGGTCACCGGGTCCAGTTTAGTACAGGCTATTTCTAGCCTGTCCTGCACCGGAATTTCAGTTCGCGATTTATTTGGGTGATTCCTGGTTGGATCCTTTGGGTGAATTGGTGCTGAGTACTTTATGAGAACTATTGGTTCTATATATGCTGTACTTTTAATTTAGGGATAGTTGTTACCTCTTTTGAGAGAATCAACTACTACTGACTCATCGCTATCTTGTCCGGCCGGCACATCTGATCTGTTCTCCACGTCCTCGTCATTCTCGTCAACCTCATCGCCCTTACCATTCTCTTCAATTTTCTCACCCCCGTCCATGCTCTCCACATCATCACTTTTCTCACTCACTTCAGTAGTAGTAGTAATTGGTGGATGTAATTGGTGGATGTTCCTCATAAACTTCAGGCATGATGGGAGGTGTGTTGGTTAGAAGCTTATCTTCATACCATTTTGTGAGTGCTACCGACTGATTCTCCGATATCATGTTTTTACCTGTTAAAATTAATTCATTTTATGATTAATTAATTATTATTTTATGAAGATTATATGATTTGCTCCGCTGCTAACAAGATGAACACCATGAACATTTTCAGCATTAGAGCTTTGAACACAAATTAGAAATGTACACAAAGACTAATTT